GCGCGTCGCCGGCTCCGACCAGCGCCAACGGGCTGCTCTGCTGGCGCCGCGTACGCCCCGGCGCCGGGTCTGTGCAAGGGAAGGGGTGGGGGTGGGAGGGGTGGGGCATGGCAGGGCCGGGCGGGGACCAGCACCCGGGGAGGCTCGCCGCCACGCGAAGAGGAAAAGGGGGCGAGAGCCATCGGCCCACCTGGCGACGGCGCCTGACGCTTGCCACCCGCCGCCCTCACACTACTCTGTGGCGGGGCCATGAGGTGCGCGCTGGCCGTGGGCTGCGGGCCTCCCTGCCGCCCAAGCCCCCCAAACCGCGCCAGCAGCTGCCTCAGAGTCGGGCGCTGTCCCGCATCGCCTGTATCGGCAGCGGCGGCCGGCGCAGCAGCGGCAGCAGGTGCCGTGGGGGCCGCCCCTGCGGCGGGCGGGAAGGCGGGGAGCACGGCGGAGCAAAGGCTGGGCGGTGGGTGGCGGCACCTCAGTGGACTTGGTGGGGGGCTCTGACGAGCCCAGGGCCGGACCGCCATGAGGAGGGCGCTGGGGCAGCCCACCTAGCCCGCCTGCCGGCGCCGCGCCTCGCTTGCCGGCCTGCGTCGAGGTGCTCTGCGGCCGAGTCAGCGCCATCCGCTGCCTCAGGCTCGGCCCTCGGCGCTGGCCAGCAGGCGCGGCGCCTGCGGGAGGCATGGGGCCGGAGGTGGGTTGAAGGCAAAAGAGGTGGCCGGGAGGGGTGGTAGAGGGGCCGCACCCAACGACGGCAAAGCACCAAGGGCAGGACCACACCTGAGGCCGGCGCCGGGTGCGGCCCAGGCAGCTGGCCGCCGTCCCCAGGCCCGCCTGCGGGGGGAGTGGAGGAGCGCCCAGTCACGGCTGACACCCTCACAGCGGCTCCTACTCCTACCGTGGCGGCCGCCACAGCTGCAAAGCGTGTGCTCACCTGGCCCCGCGGCGGGCGGCCTGCGCGACACGAGCGTCAGCTGCGGGCGGCCGCCGCCCTGCCTGCCGCCCCGCCTGCCGCTCACCACGCTCCCGCCCGCCGCGCTGCCGCTAGACCTGCTCCCGCCCGCCGCGCTGCCGCTCACCACGCTCCCGCCCGCCGCGGTGCCGCTCACCACGCTCCCGCCCGCCGCGCTGCCACCAGGCCTGCCACCAGACCTGCCCCCGCCCCCGCCCGCCGCGTTGCCGCTCGACCAGCTCCCGCCTGCCGGCCCTGAGCTGCGCGCCGGAAGCGGGCCGCTCTTTGCCGCGGCGGCATGGATCACCTGGGCGAGGCGGCGGCAGTGGTCCTGTCGCATCCTGTCGGGATCGGGCGGCACCCGGCCTGCGCGGGGCGCGGGGAGGGAGGGCGCGAGGGTGAGGGAGGCGCGAGCCGGCGGGCCGCACCCGGCGCCGCCGCGCCCACCTTCCAGCACAAACGCCAGCACGGCCCGGGGCTCGCCATTGGGCATGGTCAGCACGGCCAGTTGTTGCAAGGCGTCTGTGGACCCCCGTGGCACGCGGCGGCGCCCGCCGGTGTCGCCCGGGCTGTTCTTGGCGGCGGCCGCGGCGAGGGCCTGCAGGAGGCGCCGCCTGTCGGCCGGCAGGCGGCGGGGAGGCGCAGGGGTTGTCCCGGTCGGCAGGAGGGCCACCAGGTTGTAGTAGGCTCTGTCCAAGTCGTCCTGGCCGGGAGCGGGCGCCATGGCCGAGTCCCGCGGGCGCCCAGATGGGCGGCGCCAGGCGGCCGGCGGGCACCCCTCTGGATTGCCAAAACGCGGCTGGGGACACCCGGGGCCGCGGGGAGGGGCTCCGGGCGCCCGGCCCAGCGCTGGAGGGTCGGATTGACAGGGCCTGCACAGCCCGGCGGGGGTTGGTGCCAACAGCAGTGGGCGCTGTGGATTGCGATAGAGGAGGGAGGAAGGGCCGGACGCGCCGCCACACGAAGATGGCCGCGGCGCAGCACGGCGCAGCGCGGCGGGGCGCAGGTTTGACCAGCGGTCCGGAAGCGGGCCCGCCTGCACGTGCTGCCAGGCACGCACGAGAGGGGGTGCGTACGCTGCCGGGAGCAAAGGCTGCAGCGCCCTCTTTCAGTGGAATGGGGCTGGAGTGCCGGGCGGGAGGTGCAGGGCTCGCCGCCCGCGCCGGCTCGGCTGGCTGGCTGGGTCCAAGCCACACAGGAAACCCAGCACCCACCAGGCAGCCAGCCCAGGTATGAGCGCCCAGCACCGCCAGGCGGGAGGCCAGCAGCGAAACCCAGGCCCCCGCCCACCCCAGCCGCCGGTGCGTGGGCGTACGCGGCACCCGCACGTCGGCCCCTGGCGCTGAACCCGTCAAGAGGGCGCGGCACTCTGTGGCCGAGCTCGTTACAGGCCATACAGAGGCACAGAAGGTGCGTGTGTGTAGGCAAGCGGGAAAGGTGGCGTGGGTGCCGAGCGGTGTGGCGTGCCGCTGGCCTGCCGCGGGTGGTGGCGGGAGGACGGGGCAGCCCAGGCAGGAATGTTGCGGCACGGCGGCACGGCGGCTGGCAGGCTTGCCCAGGCGCCGGCCCCGGCACCTCGCGCGGCGGTGCACAGGGTGCCACGCGCGTCTTGCCGGCCGGTATGCACGGGCACCGTCAGGGGCGCCATCTGCAGGCGCCCACCTCCCTGAACACGTCGGCGAGCTGCGAGGAGGTGGGCGGGAGTGGCGGCGCTGGTCAGCGCAACGCCGCCTGTCGCCATCCCGCCGCGCAGGAAACCAGCCACACAGCCGTCCCGCCACGCACGCAGCCACCCGCCACGCACGCAGCCACCCCGCCACCAGCACCCGGGAGGAGCACCCGCCTGCCTGACCGCCGCCCTGTCGCCCGTCACGTCGAGCGCCAGGATGCCGTGGCTGGCGCGCGGCGACTCCTGCGTGCCGCGGCCGGCGTACCAGTCTGACGCCGCGCGTGCGGCGCAGCGCAGGGGCGCCCCCTGGTGCTGCTCGCCTCCCAGCGCGCCCCACACCGCGGGCACCGCCACGCCCGCCAGCTCGCCCACCACCCTCGCCTGCCCACCGGGCGGCGCTGGCAGCGCGCCGCGGCAGACGATCACCACGCCCGGACGCGCCGCGTGTCGCGCCAGGCTGACAACCTGGGAGCGGTGGGGGAGGGGCGGCGGGAGGAACGTGGGCCGGCGGGGCTGGCGGGGCTGGCGGGCCTGCCGTCACGCGTCGCGCGCACCTCTGACTTCCTCACGCGCAGGCCCCACAGGTCCCGGGGCGTGTCCTGGCTGGGCACCACGGGCGCCAGCACGCAGCAGTGGCCCTGGTCTGCGTGGGCGGGCGCCAGCGGCGGCGCCTCGCTGGCGGCCCGCCCCCCCGACTGTTTGGCGGGCACGCGGGGCGTGAGGCCGGCCATCTGGGGGCTCGCTCTGCGCCGATGGCGTGCCTGTGCGGCCGAGCGCGCAGGTTGGCCGAGGCGGCCTGCTGTTGGGTGTTTTGGAGTCGAGGCAGTGAGAGAGCTCTCTCGAGCCGGGAAGCACGCGGTTCACGGGGGGGGGGGGG